TCTTCATTTTTCTTTGCTCTGGATGAGGAGAGACCCATCGTTGCATCTAGATGGCTGCTTGCAAGCTTTTAAGATCCCAGTTGCTACTCACCAAAGTAGGATGTGGACCAATGTGTTTGTGTAATATGTTATGCCAATTGAGCTTGGTGTCCCCTGTGACCATGATCCCAAGCCCACATGTCCAACTACTTGCTCCCTCTGGGTAGCTGGCTGTGGCCAAGAAGTGATTACAAACTTGTCTCTTGTCAGCTCTACTATATACCTGGTAATTGTTATAGAACATACAAATACACTTGTAGAAACATTGTCTGCCAACCTTATACATGGTTATGAGTACACTGCCCCTTGCATAGACAGCAGTATGTCATTTGATTTCTTAACTGCTGCTTCCATGTATGTTGATTGTGGATACAGGTAAACTAAAATTCATGACAGTGTCAGTGTTTTCTCCATTTCTCATGCTTTTGCTTTTTGGTACAGTTGTGAGGAATTTTGTTTTCTTTATGTTTAAGGTATAATCCATACTGAAGGCTGAAGTCTTTGACCTTCATCAATAAGTGCTTCAAGTCTTGCTGACTTTCAGCAAGCAAGATGTGTGTCATCTGCTCATGATAGGTTATTAATGAGTCTTCCTCTGTTTCTGATGCAGCAGATACAGGTTGAAGAAGTATGGTGAAAGGATACAACCCTGAGACACACTTTCCCTGATTTTTAACCATGTTGTATCCTATGGTTCTGTTCTAACAACTGCTTCTTTGTCTGTGTGTAAGTTCTGCATGAGCACAATTAAGTGTTCTTTAATTCCCATTCTTCTCAATGTCACCTATAGTTTTTTATGATCTACAGAGTCAGATTTCTTTGTATAGTCATAAAACACAAGTAAACATCTTACTGGTATTCTGTAGTTTCAGCCAAGATCCATCAGACATCAGCAGTGATATCCTTGTTCCATGTCCTCCTCTGAATCCAGGTTGAATTTCTAGCAGTTCCCTGTTGATGGTCTGCTGCAACCAATTTAGAATTATCTGTAGCATAATTTTTTTTCTTGCATGTGATATTAATGATATTGTTTGATAATATCTGCATTCTGCTGGATTTCCTCTCTATGAAGTGGGCATAGATTTAGGTCTCTTCCAATTGTTTGGCCAGGTAGCTCTCCTACAGATGTTTTGGCATAGATGAATGAGTGCTTACAGTGTTGCATCCATTTGTTGAAACATCTCAGTTGGTATTCCATTAAATTCTGCAGCCCTGTTTTTTGCCAGCACCTTCATGCAGCTTGGACTTCTTCCTTCAGTATGATTTGCGTTTCATCATATGCTATCTCCTGAAATGATTGAATGTCAACTATTTTTTTTTTCCCGTACAATGACTGTGCATTCTTTCCATGTTCTTTGGATGCTTCCTGTGTCATTCAGCTTTTTGCCCATAGGATCCTTCAGTAT